TATCCCCAGAAGTGCTTTCCTGAACTTCATGTCAAAAAGCTAAATATATGAAAACCCCAAAATTTCTACAATAAAGAAGTATTAGAAATATTTGGTTGATGAATTTCTGGGAACAAAAAGAAAGACATCAAATTTTTTGTGGATCAAATGTGCACATTCCAGAATTTGAATGAATTTAGGATGATGAGTTGCATTTCAGGGAGATCTTACTTAACTATTCCCCCTAAACATCATTTCCTACTTCATCCTGACCCTGGAAAACATCCAATCCCTCTGTATCATATATACTTTAAAAATTTCCTTCATAATAGTTAATCCAATCAGAAGTTATTTTTCATAATTTTTGTTGCAACCAGAGCATAAACACATGAAGACTTTATCTGTTGACAGCTATGTTCTCAGTATGTAGAAGGTCTAATAGCACATAGTCTTACCTAGCTATTTAAAAAAAATGCACAACTGTTGTATATTTTAAAGCCAATGTATTATCTATTTGTAATGTATAGGAATTCATACGATGTCAAAAAAGATATCGAAAAACTGGTTAGCTGGAAATACATTACTGCAGTATGAAAAAATAAAATTCCTTATTGTGAAATTACTAGCATTTAATTGAACTAATTTCTGTTGTCAGCTGTTTGTCCTATATTTTCTGCAAATATCTATTGATATACACTATTTTCAAGTTTGAGTTTAGGTAGACCATGATATATTCTGGCAACATTTTAATCTCTTAAAAAAAAAAACAAACAAACAGATGCAAGCTCTTCAGGGAAGATGGCTTCAGTAGGGTTGTGACTTGGTATTGAATTGCATATATGTGTGTGGTTTTCAAGCAAATCTCTTCCATCACTGAGAATTCCTAAGAATTCTTCCATATTCATTGTATTGTTTCATATCTCTACCTAGAAGTAATGTTTTAAGATGTTTACAGTTACGAAAGATGTGTACTCTCAACAAGAACACATTATGCTCTTTTTATAGTATGTCAGGTCACTTTTTAATAACAGTTTATATTTGCAAAACTTACTTGGCACTTGATGAACAGAGCTTCCAAGGAGATAAGTTTTATGCTAAACTAGCTTGACATTTTGGAGACAAGACAGACTCCAAACAGTATTACAATTTTTCTAAGCCTGATAGAACAGATAAAGCGAAAGGCATGAATGGCATAATATAAATTCCAAATGTGAGTGAGATAAATTAGGTTGTTCAATTCACTTTGGAGGAGGATTTTTCAGTTCAGATAAACAATAGAGAAAACAATTTTTTCTTTATTCAAAAGATTTTTATAAATTGAATTCATGAATTCTAAGAAAAATAAACAATTTCTTTGATACCAATTTTTCTTCTGTATGCTAATATTTTAATTGTATTTTTTCTAGCACAATTTTAGTAATTCTGGGTCTTCAAATTGAAGACCCAGATCAGAAGCTATGATCATGGTAAACTATTGGCCTATAATTTTGTACTGAATTTGATTAAATTTTGAAAGCAAAACCCACTTCATGATCTTAATTTCAGGATTAATGAACTGAGAGATGTAGTGACTCTGGGTCCTTTTAGAAATAATGGTTTCCAGCAATAAGCAGTTGGTGATTAAGCTTTGTATTATTTTGTAGCATCCAAATTTAATTTATACACTTTCATTCTAACAGTACGTAGACCACTTTATGAAAGGTCTTCTTGTGGTTTACTCATCATGTGATGATCAAGAAGCTAAGGTATACTTACCTCTGAATGTTTTTTGATAATGTCACAAGAGCTCAAGTTGTAACTGTGACAAAAGATATAATCATACTTACCTCATCAAGTGAGAAAAATGATATGTTTTATTCTGCTTTCAAAAGTACCATTTCTAAAAGGCTTGGCTTTTAGGAACTCTGAAATGCTATATATTTTTTGTGATTGCTTTAACTTATGGGGACCCTGTTAATTTTGCTGTCAATTGCATTTACATGAACAATTGGCAATCACGAGTGTTAAAAAGACAAGACATTTTTTTAAAAATCTATTTTTTAAGAATGATGTTTGAGAATTATTATATGTAAAACTTAGAAGGGATATAGCTGGTCTTTTGAGTGAATATGTGTACAATTGCACAAAATTATACTGAAAAATAATTCTTCTACTTGCAAAATTTGTAATTGTGAGGTTATAGTGGTTTCAAATGTGAAGAACTGTTTCTTATGAGGAGTAAGAATCTATCGGAAGTTAACATTACTTTCTGAACATGTGATTCTATCAGAGAAAATACTGCTGATTATGAGGGCGAAATGACTGAGTATTGAGATAGGAATCATAAGTAATCACTCATGATTTTATGTATATAATACATCTACTATTATTTTCTCTTTTATTTCTACATATTTGTAATGCACTGAAATACTACCGTTTTCTGAACCCGTAGATATAAGTTTAAATACAAATAAAAGCATTGTGACTCAAGGGTTGCAAATACAAATAACACATGAACACAATCAGACCATAAACACAGTATTATTTGGATGACATGGAAGATGTTAATGATTTGGTTAATTCAGAAAATACAGGTTATACAGTTCACTTAAGATTAAGACTTTCTGAGTAGAATTTCTTCACTAGGTGGATTTTATGGATGTATTAAAAATATTCCTTATTACTCTCATTAAATGTATTTTATTTGTTGGATATTTAAAAATGGCGATTAAAGTAAATTCTTATTTATTTCAGGCACAGAACTAATAATAATGATTTAATAAGAAAAATCCTCTTAAATTATGCATGTATAATGCAAGTTGTATTTTTTAAACTGATCTTATCCCTATTTCTAGTGACAATGAAAATCTGTCTTTGCTTTAGCAGCACATACATTTGAAATTGGACATGGTGAAATAATCTTACTTAGAGCGCAATAAAGTGCTTTACAAACTGCATATTTCACAAATAAACTGTAATCATCCATATTTTGAATGTATGTGATACTGATAACATTATCATTTAAAGAACAAGTAAGGAGAAGCTGTACATTAGAGGCCATCTACTTACAAATTCCATTTATGTCAGAAATTGTTACCTTTTTTCCTTACATACAAATCATTGACTGGATATTTTTGTGGGAAGGTACATATTTTTATAGTATGTCAAGTCACTTCTTAATAACAATTTATATTTGCAAAACTTACTTGGCACTTGATAAATAGAGCTTCCAAGGAGATAAGTATTATACTAAACTAACTTGACATTTTGGGGACATATGTACCGCGACACATAAATGTCTTACTTTTCAAATCTCTATAGCAATGGGGAACTTACACAATTTTTAAAAAAGAAAAGACAACATTTCAAAAGGACCCTGAGTGGTCATCAAATCATGCTAATTATTTTAGACAAAAAATAAATCTTTATTAAGCTTTAACATGTTTAATAAACATGTTTTATACTCCTATAATTTTGACAGTGAAATATTTGAAAACGATGTTTTATCTGCTACATTTGGAATGAATTACCCTAAATATTAGCACTTCTGCATACAATGCTTTATCTGAATTATAGCCTTATTTTTCAAAGAAAATTTTGATATTTCATATATGTGGAACTAAATGTTTACCACTTTAGTTATAGACTACTTATCATAGGGTATACTTTTTTTCATAGAGTATACTTTTAAAATTTAAATTTATTTTATATTAGTTTCCATAAAACTGCCTCAGGAAAATCTTAAAAGTATACAGAAAGTGTATTCAAACTCAAGGAGATGTCTAATATATTGTGTAATTATCAGCAGAACATATTAATAAAGCTTTCATTTCTTGGTTCTATTATTTCTGCCATGTAGTGAATCAGAGTAAAAAGGCCTTGCTTTCCTATGTCATTTCTGAATTTATTATTTACACATTTGAAACCAAACGGACAATTCTAAAATCTATCCATAATATTTTTAAAAGTCTTGCCAATAACTTTCCAGAGTGCATGATCTATATCTAGAGGATATTATATAGAAGTTTTCTTTTTCAAAAGTTTTCATGTGCTTCTTGGACTTTTTAGAGTTACAATATAAGGAATTACATTATTGCAAGTTGCATGTAAAATATGAGATAAGTTACTAATATATTGAAATATGAAGAATAAAAAGTGTTTGTGTATAATAAGTCAGTAGAGTCAACTCAAATAAAATTTTTGTACTCAGCTATATTTTTCAAGCAACTATATGGATTGCTTTCAATGAACAGAGTAACTTAGCTACACTGAACCAGTGTTTCCATCCAATGTCAATATTCACATAAACTTGGGATAAAATACTCAATATAAGTTACCTAGTTTGATTTTCTTTTTAGTCTACAGTGCTCCTGTCAAGCGGAAAGCCAAGAAGATCCTTCTTGATGATACTTGAAAATTGACTCAAATCATTACTGAGATTAAATTTCAGTATATTTTATAAAAAATATTACTTACTTTCACAGAAGTGAAGAAATACAATTGCACAATGGTGGTTACAATGGTAGAAATACATATTGCCAATAAAACCTTAGCAAGAGATTTAAAAATGACTATACAGCACCGCATCAGAGAATTGTGTGAACAGCAAAATGATTGATACTACTTTTCCATACAAAGAAAATCCTTAAATATTTTTAAGAAATAAATGGGAAGTAAGTGCTTCTTTTAACCCTAATTCCTACCAAAATATTTCCTGATGTGGAGCAAAAGACATTAAAAATTGACATAGTTTTTTAAAGAAAAGACATTCATGCAATTAAGCCACCATTAGTCTCTGACTCTAATATAAGGCAGATCATTAATCTTTTGCAAAAACTATGACTTTAGCCACTTAAACTCTTTTTAGTGCTTTTCATGACAAGGACATGATGGTTCTTGTAAATTTAGAAGTTAAGATGTGTTTCCAACTCATTAATTTAAACTCAGCTGTTTTTTGGAAACACAGAATTTACTACTTAAAAATGCTTTGTTTTGGAGAAATGATGAAAAGTCATAATAATAACAACAACAGAAAAACAGAAAGAAAGGGTCCTATAGATTTTTATCATAAATGGAAGTGTTTGAATAAATAAAAATAAATCACTTTTGTCTATGTGTCATCCTCAGTCTTAATGATGTGGAAAAGAGTGACATTGAAAAGGACCTGGTGGCCATTGTTCCAGGCATAAAGAGCTCTATCTCTTGCATTGTAGTCAAGCATGGATATGTGAAAGTATTGGTTATGGAAGGGAATATCTGTGTACTCATAGGTGGAGGTTTTGGTGGAATAGGAATAATACACCTTGGCTCCAGTTAAGTGGGAGTTGGTGACATAGAGTGTCCCACAGATCATGAAAGATTCCCCTGCACTTCTCTTGGGGTAGCCAGTGCTCCAGCTCTTCAGCACCTCCAAAGTATCTTGGTTAAGCTGGCTGATGACAATATTGCCTGCATTCTGGTTCGTTGCATACACAGCCCACAGTCCGATTTCATCAGCCATTAAGTCGATGTCAGAGAATCCGCCCCATGTGTACGGATAAACATTGTGAAAACCAGCATACTCCAGGCTTCGCTGGGCAAGCACTCTCCCCATATCAAAACTGTATTTGATGATGATGTTGCTCTGATATTTGTTAAAATACAGTGAGCCATTGTAGACCACATGGTTAGTTCCAGCCCACTTGAAAGGGAGGTTATATGTCCTTGATTCAGCCCCACTGACAAAGTCTGCAATTGACTTGTATTCACGAACAATTTTATTGTTAGTGTAACTGTCCATGTACCAGACCTGAGAACAAGAAAAAAACAAATAGATTAAATAAATTTTGAATTTCTTTGAGAATTCCAAAATAAGGACAGTGAAAGATAAAATGTACTATTGTTATGTTTCTCTGGCTGTCAAAGCAAATTATCTTATTGCTAACCTGCTGCAAAGTGGTAAAATTGTAGACTTTTGTGAAAATATTTGTATGGTCTCTGTGGAAAATAAACATCTAATTTACAGCTTTGACAATGATCTGATTTTTGCTTTTTATTTTTTAAAAATTTCTTTACATTTGTGTATTTAGTGCATATCACTGAGTGAATCTAACATATGTCAATGCAAATCACAACACTTGATGGATTGATGTGATCAGTTGATAACTACAAAAATATATACAAATCATTTTTATTCTATCCCTTGCTTGGAGAAAAATGTATGGCCTAATTTCATATATTCAACTTCTACTTCATGACTATCACAGAATAGTCTAGTAATATTTGTTCGTTTGATGAGCCTGTAGGTAAAACTACCTTGTACTGAAACCAACTAGTTTCATAACAAATCTTTTTTGGATGAAGCCCTTGATAGTTTTAACATGTAATGACTACTGTCCTAGAACATAAATGTGTATATGTGGAGGTTTGGAGGGGTTGAAGGGAGGGAAGGGAAATGGGGATCAAATAAGAACCAAGATTCATCATGTACAGGTACAAATTCCCAATGATGAATGTCGTACTGTGTACCTTAAATACGCCAATAAAATTAATGAATTAAAACAAGAAAATAAATGTATGTATGGTACATTTCCAATTTGATCTACACAATGTGGGCATCACTAACTTCCAAAAATGCTCTCTCCTAAGTGTTAGTGTCATTGCTTCTTAAAACATTCCTGGACTCCAGGTATATGTTAGTTTATTTATGAATTTCTCAGCCATTGAGTTTTTACTTATTTAGTGATTTTTCTTTTTTCAGAATATTTTATAAACAATATCCAGGAAATGTGTGCTTATAATTAGCACTTTCTAAGCATAAAACACGAATAAAATAAAAAGAAATAGACTTACTCTATTGGTGAATTATAGAATGGTTCATTTTACTAAATGAGTTTGATTTATATCTTTAGATGAGTTATTACTATCAAACAAAAATATTTGCAAACAGTGTAACACCATTCAAATTAAAACAAATATCCTCACAGAAAATGACCTGACCAGTAGAGAAAAAGAGTAAATAAAACACAATTTTAAGCAAAGACATTTGTGGAAGAAACATACTCTGTTATTTTTTTCAGATGCTAAAGGATCTGTCATCCAAGCACCAAATCGAGTTCCAGATGTCTTGATTGTAATGGGGCCTGTGATTTTCATCAATTTGCCACATGCTGAAATTACAGAAACACAAACATGTTACATGAAGAAAGCCTATGGCTCCGACACACATACTCATACCAAGAACATAGAAAGGGATCATAAAACAGAAAAAAATACATGGAATTAACATTATATATTTTGAATGAGTGATCATTCATATCAGATGCTGATAATAATAATTATTCAACCACGAGTAGTTCATTTTTCAGTGTTCTAAATCAAAATAGGAAAATAATTTTTATAATCTATAAAGAAATAAATGAGAAAGTCATCATTATTATATCCGTTTAACAGCTGTTTTATCTTAAAAAAGCAAAAATAATAAACAAATTTCCCATTAACCTATGTACCTGATCTCTAGAAACAGTCTCCCTTCCCAATACTTTGCAACCATGTATAAATTATACAAGTCAGAAAGAACTCTATAAGCTGACTGTCAACTTATGTTTGTGAAAAGTATCCTTATAGAATATAACAGTAAAATACTAAGTCATAGTCCACCTAAAAGAAGTAGAGTTCTGAGGGGTAAATGCATGGGAACGGGGCCTGGCAGAGCATCCAGGAATATGCAAGGAACAAGAATCTGAAATCTGAAGCCCTAAGCCACAAAAGTCCTATGCAGTCGAAAGTATGAAAAAGCAATGTACAGTGAAAGATTGGGGACTTGCTTGAAAAATTGTGTTCTATCATCTTAGCTGCAAATGAGATCTTAGGAATAGGTTGGACTTTTCAAATCCCAAAACACAAACCAAACAGAAACCTAAGTATTTTTGTGATATTTCTGAATAGTACAGTTTAAAAGTGATCTATTATGCTCACTGTAAAGTGTAATCTGACTTCTTATAAATGTTTTCCTGTGATCAAAACACTGAAATACTCTTTGCTGTTCATTTTTCTCTTTTTATACTTAAAAAATTTGGGGTATTATTTATTCTTTTTCTTGTATCTTCCTCTCTTTATTTTTAAAACTGACAAATTTCTAGTTAATTCCTGCTGGCCTCTATGTGTTTGAATGAAAGAAGAATAAACTAAATTGGAACCTACATGATTTTTCTCTATATGTGTCCACATAAGAATAATTTGCAATTGGTGGGAAACTGAGCTGTGCAGTTAGGAAGATGATGAATGATAATATATTTTCCACTATTCTTTTGGCAATAACTACAAAGTTATCAAGCATTTTAAGAAGTCTGAATTGAATACACTCACTCTCTTTTGTGAATGAAACCAAATATGATGACATCATTATAGAGCAAGTTACTTGATAATTTCTTCAAACCCGATAAACCAAGGAGGAAGACTTTAGGGTATTATTCATAGTTCAATAGCAAGACATTGCAACCTATTTGGAATATTTCATCAGTTCAATTTGCTACAAACAGATGAAAAAAATGATTGAAGTATCACTTTGAGCTAGAAAATATTAATGTATTCCAAATGGATAAAGATAAGTATATGATCTGAATATACAATAAGTGAAAGGAATATGATCATTAATGATGTTCTACATAAATATTCTAAATAAACAGATGACAGACGGGCGTGGTGGCGCATGCCTCTATTCACAGCACTAGTGAGGCTGAGGCAGGAGTATTGCTGTGAGTTTGAGACCAGCCCGGGCTACAGAGTGAGTTCCAGGTCAGTCTCAACTATACAGTGAGACCCTGTCTTAAAAAAAAAAAAAAAACCCAAAATAAATAAATAAATGAATAAACAGACGATAAGAGCATGAAAAATCCAAGTGTTAAGTGGATTGAAATAAAGATAAAGGAATATCTATCTTCTCTCCTAAAATATCACAAAGCAAAATTTGTGATATTTTTCTTAAGCATAAGAAAGTAATTCTGGTTTAAAATTATGGAATAATATGTGTTTTTATCTCCTTTCTTTCCCATTTCTCATTAAAGTGATAGTAAAAGAATAAAAAATGAAAACAAAAACAAAAACAAAAACAAAAACCTGAAAACCCAAAGCAAAAGAAATTGGAGAAGTTTTAACAAATTTCTAGGGGGCAGAGATGAAGGATATTAGTCCTTAAAACGTAGGATAACATAAATTGCACCTGTATCTCGGACGAGGAGGGGACATCAGAGGAGGGAGAGGCTCTATCTTGAAGAAAAGTAAAGACTCAATAAAACAGGCTGGGGATTTAGCTCAGTGGTTCCGCCGCCTACCTTGCAAGTAAAAGGTCCCAAGTTTGATCCCCAGTACCAAAAAATAAAAATAAAAATAAAAGACTCAGTAAAACAGGCATAAAGGGTGTTGGGATTGATAAGGGCTTTAGGAACAACCAATTGCATCTACATCGTTTCATTTATGTTAAAAAAAATATTTGTGATAATTCCTTAAAAAAGATTTAGGGTGACTGATGTAGGTACTGAAGGTTGGGAACAATAACATAGACTTTGTGCTTTCTAACCATGCAAAAAAAAAAAAATGTCTAGTCCTACTAAACACACAGTTCCCAATGACATGAGGGTCCAGAGAGTTTCAAAAAGTTAAAATGAAGGTGATCAAGACAAAAATTTAGACAAAACAGGGTTCCAATAAGAGAAAGAATTCAGAAAGTCTAAAAAAATGACCCCTAGTTTCTTCAGAGATATTTTTATGCTGTGGACTGTGGACTGTGAAAGGAAAGCACAAAAGAGGTACTGACAATTAAAAATATAACAACATTTAAAAAAATCAGTTGGAAGATTGAAAGATTTTTAAACTAAAAATTTAAAATGAAAATAAGGTAAAGGGAAAAATGAGAACCAAGACCTGTCATGTAAAGGTTCAAGATCCCAATGATGAATGTGTATACCTGAAATGTACCAATAAACTCAATGAGAGAGAGAGAGAGAGAGAAAAATAAAGTAAAATGTATGAAGGCAGATATGATCAACCTAGATGTTTTGACTTCTAAAGAACGAGGTTTTCAGAATAGAAAGAGAGAGAATAGAGACAAATTTCAAAGACATTATATAGAGATTTTCCTTAGTTGTAAAACCTGGATATTCAGATTAGGACATAAAATATTTTTAAAAATTTCTTTACAAAATTACTTCAAAATGTTAGAAGATCAGTAATAAATTGAAATTAGAATTCTACGGGGAAAGAATAAGAGCTTGTTACATACAAACAAATGAAAAAAAGATTAGACTGAAATTGAGCTTATCGTTACCCATCCTCAATGCAAGAAGGCAACAATCAGTGCCTTTATGTTTATAAAGAAAATGATAGTATTAGGCTATTTTCCAACAGGAAAACTTTCTAAGTTTGTCTAAAATGATCTCCTTCTTCAGAAGTTATTTGAAGACATACTGCAGCAAATAAGCGAGTAAACCAAGACAACAGAAGACTCGGGGTCAAGGAAGTAGCAAACTTCTATCCCACAATAACAAGTGTGCAGCAGGACTTGAGAACATTTGTTTCAGAATCCATGATTAGCTCCCAGAAGGGAGTCTGAACAACATGTGTGTAGGAATGTGAATAAGTGTAGTCATGGTAGAAAAGTCTAAAAATTAATAGTGCAATTAACACATGATCCATACGATCTAGCCATCTCACCACTAGGTATACCTATTTCCAAAAGAAATGAAACCGATATGTTGACAAGAAATCTGAACTAGCGTGTTCATTTCATTGCCATTCAGAATAGTCAAGAGTTGAAAACAATCTTAAGTCCATCATCGGGTGAATGGATAAAGAAAATGTGGGATGTATACTCAATGGCCTGTTATTCAGCTATAGAAAATAATATAATCTTGTCACTGGCGATAGAACACATAGACAGAACTAGAAATCAATGTTATGAGAAATACATCAGGTAAAGAAAGATAATACAGTGAAATGTCACTCATATGTGAATCCAAAAAAGTTGACTACATAAAAGTTGAGATAACAAAGGTGCGTATCCGAAGCGGAGGAGAAAAGGGAGAGAGTGTTGGGAAAGGCTGACCAATAGCTACTGTGTTACAGTCAGGAGAGAGACATTCTGGTATTTCCAGTCAGGAGACTAGAAGTAACAACAATGTACCACAAAATGAAAAGCCAAAGAAAGAAGTTTGAAAGTTTTCATCATAAAGAAATGACACAATAAAACGTTACACAATATGTACCATTAAAGTGAACATTTTCTATATTTCATATTTTATGTACCGGTAAATGGATCCAGTATTTTTTTCAAAGGAAGATAAATAGCACTGGTGTATAGAGAGACTAAGACTGCTTGAGGTAATAGTGAGGTATACAAAATATTTTCCTTCAAATTTAATTCTAATAATATTCCTTTGAATGCAGAGATATTACGGTAGGAGACGTAGAGAGGAAGGGATTGTATTTGGATCCATCACGTAGCTCCCAAGGAACAATATAAACATTATCATAATAAGGTCTTCACTCATTTTTCTGTTAGTGGAATCAGTCTATAAACTAATTATAAGACACTTGACAGATATTTCACCTGCACTATGATTACTGAGAAAAAATGTGATAATTACACAGAAGACAGTTCCCATTGTTAGAGAGTTTTGAATTATGAGAACAGATAAAAAAGCTAGGAATGTAGTCTTCTTCATATTTAAAAATACATGGTTCAGAGGGATTTCTCCTATAATTAAAAAAGAGAGACAGACATAAGACTTGAATTTGCAAAATTTATACAGGTATATAGATCAAACTATGAATAGTTATAAAAGCATACAAGAGGAGACATGAAAGAAAGCAATGTTGGAGAAGGTATCTAAATTTTCATCTTGCCAACCAGGAAGTCAGAAAGCAAGGTCTAAATCTGATAAATGAAAAGAGTAGAAAAATAAACTTATTCCTAGAAATATATATTTTAAAATTTAAGGCCCTAAAATTAATTGGTTACATGTAGTTCCCTTATAGGAACAGAGCTGAAGGAGGCTGTTGCTTTTCATTCCAAACCTTTTTTCATTCTAAGCAAGCAATTTTCTGGCCATGTGTGTACAGTATTTAAATTGTAGTTTAAAAAGGTAAAATAACTGCAAAATCTTCATAGTCA